GAGATGGGAGGAGAATTATTGGTTAATAAATTTTATCTTCTAAATCACTGAGATTCAAAAGCACCAAGGATGGCAATATCATAGCTAATGTTCAAAAATTGGCTAATGTCAAACATTTCCAGTGAATTATAATCGTGAGGGGTTATTCAAAGTTCAACATAAATCAAAACACCAGAAAATATCTACTTGCCATGTTTAATTTATAAGGTCAACCGAAGGTAAAATCCATACGGTTCTAAATTTTTTTCAAGCTTTTTGGTAGAAATTAAAAATTACAGACTCTCAGACTACCTAATAATTGCTTCATCATTGAACATTAACCCACAACAAATTATTTGTACTAGTTTAGGATGCTTAAATTTGCAATTATTTTCTTCTGAAGCAATAAACACTAGCTCTTACACAATGCATATGAGCACACTACGTTAATTAATTTTTAATACTTATTGGACTTTCATATAAGCATTAAAAATGAGAATACGATCTAGCGGCTTAGCTTTTAAGATACGAAATTCTTTTGCAAGCTGGGAAAACAGAAAGATCTTCTCTGAATAAATTCTGTGTGGGGATGCCCTGTGATAAAGTGCACATGGAAATACCAATCACAAAGAAAGGAGCTGTATAGTACGACAGTTAAAAGCATAAGACTTAGGGCCCAGCCGCTTGAGTTCAAATTCCTGTTCTATCATATACAAGCTGTGTGAACTTGAACTAGTTATTTAACTTCCCTGTGCCTCAGTTTCTTCACTTCTAAAATGAAAATAATAATAGTACCTACCTCATACGGCTCTTGTGAGGAATACATGAACTAACATATGTTTAAAGCAATGAGAACAGTGCCCAGCACATAGCAAATACTCAGTAATAAATGGTACCTATTATTATTGTACTTGTATTAATACTGGTATTAATATGAGTGATAGTAATATTCCATGGAGATAATACTCTGAGGAATAAAGACATTACACAGAAATATCGGGAAAATGAGACAAAGATAATTAAGGCACACCTAGAAAGTGGTAAGAATTTACACTATAAAAACTTATAACCAAATTTCTCAACAGTTTTATTGCTTAGAAATAGTATATAGTCAAGCCATAATATTCATGCTCTTGACAAATTACATACATCGTTGTTTTCCATAACACAATCCTATATGGCACGATATTACAACAGAGATCAGTAAATTTTCTAATATGGTACATGTTCAGGGCAGGATTTTAACTAGCCTTTATATGGAGTAATGCCTAGGCATACTTGAGACTAACGAATATTCTACCTCTATTCAAATCATAGCCAAAATAGCTATCACTGTACCCTAAAATCTAAGGAAAAAACTGACAACCCGAATTATATTTATTGTCTTCTCTATTGCTTTTTCTTTTTTCTTTGCCTCAACCTAATTTAAAAAGCCTTTCATAAAAATGAATTTCCACATTTTGTTCTTTGGCCATGTGACTGAATTATAGAATGGTGTGGCAGACTCAGGTCCTTCGTTTCAGGTGTAATGGCATGCTTCTTGTCTCTGCTTAGCTACACAACTTTCATTAATATTCTGAGTCACTGACCTGTCCAGACAGCCCCCTATTGTTCCATGGACCAATTCAAGAGCCTTTATCTGCTCACTCATCTTTTCCTAAATTTTAGCTCAATTTATGTAAAAAGCAAACTTCTAGCCAATAATCCACAATTGAGTAATTCACATATGGTTCATCAAGAGTTGGCTGTATATTAGAATGCAATTTTATAATTGAATTGAAATTTCACTAAACAAAGGCATCTATTTATTAATTTTTCTAATCTAACGATAAAAGATAATTAAAAATGGATAAAGCACAAACATATTGTAGTATGGTGCCATCTTTGAGGACAGTATCAAAAACTTTTGTGTTTATTTCCTCAATTGCATGATTGTTAATAATACTCACATTTCTATAATAACATTAACATTTCCTAGTTCCTTACACATTAACTCACTTAACCCACGCAATCCTCTGAGCTAGACATTATTATCCTCATTTTATAAATGAGGAAGTTACATAAGCACCAATGAAATAGATGTATATTATTTTGTCAGATACAGTAAGTTCTTATTAATCTAGAGAAAGATTGTTGGTGAGAAAAGTGGTTAACTGAAATTAATACTCTAAAGTAAATTTTGAATCTCTTCAATATTGTTAACGCAGGTCCTTTGCAATCTAGAAGTTCTCCCACTCTACTAATACTTTCTCCCTGTAGCTAAAATATTTCTACAGTACTTTTTACTCTAAATATGTTAGGCCTGGCAGGGTGAGAATCTGCTTTTGCCCTATTCAGCCACCTAATAAATTCATACAGAACACACTGAATACAATAATAGCCAGGCACATGGCCTTTTGTGGCTTTTGCTAAACCTTTGCCTGGCCTTGCAAAATATATTTTTGAACTTTAGAATTTATTACCTAATTACAACAAGGGATGGTATAACCAATTAATTAACTCACCCCCAAACCAAATTTTAAATTGTGTTTACTTGTCACCAAAATGCCATAGTAGATAACAATTCTACATGTGACTGACAAACGGTGAAAACGTGCTGTACACAACTGTAAGCAAGGGTCCTTAAGATAGACTTATGAAAAACATTTAAGATTGAGTGGTTTTTCTTTCAAGGTTTAGCTATAGAAGTAAATAAGCTGAGCCCCTTAATCTGAGTCAAAGTAGCATTTAGGAAATCAAGTATTCTTCCATCAGTTCTCCAAGAAGCACAAAGGCAAAAAGAATATCTAGCCCTTTCTTCGAGCAAAATTACTTTAATAATCTGTACAGAAATGAATGACAGTACGTGTGCTGATGACTGGGAGGAAGATGAAAAGAAAACTCCTAGAATTTTATGAATAAAAATAAATTCCATAAAGTGATAGAAGTTACAATGCATCCCTACAGGAATGCAGTGAAAGAAAAAAGATTCCACAGTTAGAAATGACTATATGTTTTTTTTTAAGTATCAAGTTCACAACTGATAAGGAAATTTTCCTGTTAACTAGGAATTAAACTATTAAGAACTATCAAATTTTTCTTTCCGTCCTTTACCGAAATTTTTTTTAGGTTCTGAAACACTTCTCAGCTTTAACATGTGCAATATTCAAAATATAAAACTTGCAGATGTCATTTAAGAGCATCAGAGCAAACATGATGTAAATATTATGCAAGAATGCAAATACACATAGATTCCTACAATAACAGAAATGTAGCTGAACATCTAAGACCACATCTGAAAGGTGATTTCTAAATTAAATTCCAATTATGAAAATGGTTAACATACGTCCATTGAATGTGCTCATTCAATTCCAGTTAATTTTGGCTAACCTAAACTTTACTTGATCATTCTGCAAATATTTATTAACCAGCTAGCATGTGCTAGGTAATACAACTACAATGGGGAGAAAAAAAGGGAGACAGTTTCTGCCATGTTTTGTTGTTTTTTTGTTTTTTTTTTTTGAGACAGAGTCTCACTTTGTTGCCCTGGCTAGAGTGAGTGCCGTGGC